TCATCCTGAACATGAATGAAATATTTGCCACTGGACGAAAAGCAAACAACTATCAATTAATCAGTCTTTTAACAAATTCTTTTCGTTCATATGCTACCACCGTTCTGGGTATATCTTGTTTACCCGATCTGCCGTGGTATTTGCCAAAACCCAAATTTTTTGGTAACCTTCACGGAGATTCCGGATCATTTGCGTACTTTATTCAAATTCGAATATTTTATTAGATAAAGAACAATCAAAATAATGCGTAATCCAATTTAACACAAAAGTGGGACGGAAGTAAAAACGGGCGGACACACGCCCCAATCACTACCGAGGATACTGGGGATGTAAATAGCATAAATCAGTAATGAAACATTTCCATTTCAGAGCCGCATTATACCCTAGGCTAGTTCAATTCGTCGGTGTAATTATAATTATTTACGTACTCAGTATAACTTCTAGTAGAGATTCAATTAAAAAGGGCAAGGGGTTGAAACTTCCCAGAGTTTCTGCTCTTTACTACGTTCACTAGATTACCGAAAATGACATTAAACAATATTTTTCCATTAATATCTATAAAAAAACATTTTTCCACTCAAAAAAAATATTTTCGCATACTCTGTACATTTTCTTTAAGTTCTACCGGATCATATTTACTTTGGTACACATCAAGCATTAATTTTTCGTACTCTTCTTTAAGTTTAATTTATAAATGTAATCCAAATTCTTTATTTACCCAATTAACATCTCAAAGTGCTCCTTGAACTGTACTGTTTTAAAACATATTATTTTTTACATTACTTACTGAAATATAAAAAATATAATCCTTCTTTAAAGAATTTTTACATACAAATACAGATATTTTTGAGAAAAAAGTAAATTTAAATAAGAATATGTCAATATGACACCGTGCCCCGCTCTTATCTTAAATATGTCTTACAGGGAAAATCCATTAAAGTTCCCCTGACTTCTTTGACGACTTGAAACGTTCCAAATGAAGATCGAGAGCTGCTCTATTTACGGTATTTAGAACTATTATATCACATAACAGGTTTTGACAGTTCCGCCCTAGATCAGATCCGAACAGTTCTACCCTAGACCAGATCCGAACAGTATGACCTCAGAACAGTGTTAGACAGTTCGTTCATAAATCAGATTTTGAAAGTTCTACTCTAAAACAGTAGTAAAATATATATAAACAAGTCTAAATTGAAAACAACGTTCAAACCTATGATTGCGTTGTATAAAAACCGCAATTTTTATACGTGTGCATGTAAAACAAATTTCTTGTTAGAGGGGTCTAAATACAGCACAAACAACATTTTCCAAAAGACAAAACTTTAGACTTGTTTATACTTTTTCGTTTGGGCTTGTATTATATTTGCCTTCGGGTTTATATGATCCGTTCATCCTACTAGTATTTCGACTCTTCAAAATTCAAGAGTTTATCCTAAATTGAGGTAAATTATATGGCCTTCCAAATACCGTTTCGATTCCTAACATCACTGAAGAGACATTAATTGTCGAAATCCGGATATGGTGTACTAATTTTTGCACCTTTTGCTTGCTGTATACCATCTTTTCCGTAAGTTTATTGTTTTCTGTTTGGTATTAAATTAATAGTTAAGATCCATTTTGTTACATCTGATGATCCGTTTATTTGACAATCGCCAATGGCAGTCAGCAGGGTTTAAGAACATCCGTTGTTCGACCTGCTAGTCAAATGCGTTTTGTTAAAATTTGCTTTTTCACTTTTATTTTGTCTTTTGGAAAATGTTGTTTGTGCTGTATTTAGACCCCTCTACCAAGAAATTTGTTTTGCATGCACACGTATAAAAATTGCGGTTTTTATCCAACGCAATCATAGGTTTGAACGTTGTTTTCAATTTAGACTTGTATGTATACATAATTATTACTCTAGATGTCAGCACAACAATGTTAAATCTGCAAATTTGCGGAAGCAAATTTTTGTTCTTCCCTCGCCGGGATTCGAACTCATGCTATTGGGATATCGAGACAACATCGCCTGCACTGTGTCCAGCGCTCTAGACCACTCGGCCATCTAGACTGAACTTAATAATTCAGCTTTCGGTGGCCTAGTGTTATCTTTCCTCGTCAGTAGAATCTAGAGTTGTAACACAGTACATGATATATTAGGCATGAAGATGGAATTGATTGCAGATTAGCTAAATATCTATCGTAAAGGATCGAAGATACAGTCACAGAAATAATTATTCTGATAAGTACGTCTAAACAAGTGACAACTCTACGACAAATCCATCCATTGGATCACCAGTGAAGGTGATACACGGCTTAAAACACATATTATATTCATAATTACTCTAAATATCAGCACAACAATGTTAAATCTGGAAATTTTTGGAAGCAAATTTTTGTTCTTCTCTCGCCGGGATTCGAACTCATGCTATTGTGATATCGAGGCAACACCGCCTGCACTGTGTCTTGGTGGCCAAGTGGTCTAGGGCGCTGGACACAGTGCAGGCGGTGTTGTCTCGATATCCCAATAGCATGAGTTCGAATCCCGGGGAGGGAAGAACAAAAATTTGCTTCCGCAAATTTCCAGAATTAACATTATTGTGCTGATATTTAGAGTAATTATGAATACAATATGTGTTTTCAGCCGTGTATCCCCCTTCACTGGTGATCCAATGGATGGATTTGTCGTAGAGTTGTCACTTGTTTTAACATTGTTGTGCTGATATTTAGATTAATAATTGCTCATCTTGCAAGACATTTCTAATTTCATGCCAATTATTGTCCATTTATCATTATTGCTGGTTTTGTAATGTTTCTGTTGACGCTTTCGTTCGATTGGACGATGCTATAGAATTGTATGGCGGTTGATATATGTGTAGCTTGAACCCTTAAACATGTCAGCGCACCTGTTCTAATCCCTTAATATTCATGTCCACTCCCCGCCCTTGTTTGTCAGTCTAAATAATTCCAATCGAACTATTATATTTCATTAAAGACCATGTGATCTATTAAAAGAGGGACGAAAGATACCAGAGGGACATTCAAACTCATAGATCGAAAACAAACTGACAACGCCATGGCCAAAAATAAAAAGACAACAGACAAATAATAGTACAGATGACACAACATAGAAAACTAAAGTCTAAGCAACACGAACCCCACCAAAAACTGGGGGTGATCTCAGGTGCTCCGGAAGGGTAAGCAGATCCTGCTCCACATGTGGCACCCGTCGTGTTGCTTATGTTATTACAAATCCGGTAAATAGTCTAATTCGGTAGGTCACATTCGTGAAAAGGGAAGGGTATTGTAGTTACGACATAAGGAACATATCCGATATCATCTGTGAAACGGTTATTCCATAACGGTCAACCAACTCGTGATGGCGTCCGTAAAATTTACGAAGGGATGATTTCAACTTCACCATTAAATCACGAGGAAGTAGACATAGGCCGGATGAGTCCTCTGGTCTACACTGATATTTCAAAATACACCGAAAGGTAATTAAATGTCTAAATAGGTACCGTTATTTTGAGAAAAAGGAGAAAATGCATATAAATTATATCGTTGTAATAAAAAGTATATATATATATAGAAGTCTATAAAAAGGACCAAACAGCAAATTTAATGTGTACCGGATCGTCCAGAATAGACGATACTGCGCAGATACGGACAAAAATATAAACGTCTAAAGATAAGTACCGTTGCGCAAATCTTTAGACTATTATATATACATATATATGAAAAATGATAAGGAAATAACAAATTTAGCAACTTGACTACATAAGTAAATATTAAAGAGTACTACTTCCGATCATCAAGATATTTAAAAAGTAAGTTTATTTTTGTAGAAACTTAACTGCCAACAAATTTTGCCTTGTGAGAAGTTGGGCTTTGTCAAATACGTTTTTAACCACTTCGTTGATTTTTTGTGACCTTTGACATTTAAGCGACTAGAACTGCATTTAATATCAGATACAAGTTTTAAAGTAGAAAAGAAAGGATATGGGGTATCCATCCATGACAAAAAATCAGAATATGCACAGAAAAATAAATAACAAGCAAAGGAACAGCTCTTTTATTGATGTTCTTCGTCTCAAAGTCACATTGAGGCCTTCAACACGGAACAAAAACTCTCACATCACTGCAAGTTTAAGACGGCCCTAAGCACCAGTTTGAGCGTAGGACCCTTTTTTTTCCTCATTATTTCATCTTTAATCATATATCATATGGTGCAAAACGTTTCCTAAAAACGTGTTTAAATTTTCATCAAATTGTTGGGGTCAAATGAGGCTCCAAATAACTCTTCTCCCGTCTTTATCTTTTCAGTGAATTTTCCGAGTTTATTTGTTTTTTGCTCGTACCATTTTATCTTTGGTTAACTTAAGATATAAGGGTAGTTTGGTTGCACATGTAAACTACTTTAGTGAAAGATTGTGTTGGTTTCAGCTGGAATACTTTAATGAAAATATACTTAGATTAGAGCTGTCCGTATATCGGGATTAATACCCCTGCAAATGCATTTTAGTGGTTGCACGGCAGCAGATCGAAATTCAGTATCAAGACTGTGTCATTTTAAGATTGTTGGCTTCCAGCATATTCATTTTATATGATCATTTGCATCTGTGCGAGGTTGACACATAGTTACAATCTTACATAAATATACCAACTAAAAAACAAAGTCTGGAGTTTGTATGCTGTAAATTAAGAAATTAATGCTTGCATTTATTATTGCGAATCCCTGACGACTGTCCAAAAATGCGAGTTTTAATTAATGCAATGAATGTCCTGTTGCATTATTCGCACGAAAATATCAAATTTGCAATAATTTCTGAATTAACAATATTTCAATCAAGTTAGCAACCTCTGTTCGGATTCAAAGGTCGAAGTCAAGGTCTCAATGACCCAATGTTAGTATGTGACACAATATACAGAGAAGCAAACAGGTTAAATTAACTTCATTATATTTTGTACACACTCCAGAATACCTTTATATTGAACAGTTAACGGATAAATTTAAAATACTAACCATACTCTCGAGCAAGGTAGCGATTCATCGCTCCAGACTGAGACATTTCTTTTCCGTCTATTGTTAACACTGGAAGTTGCTCAAACGGAGTACTGTAATATATTATATATATCTTGTATGAAATATAAGCCCTGCTCTTCTTCTTTCTTCAACTTGTGTTTTTTAATGTCCCATTTATATATTATTTTCAACTTTTTAACAGACTTAATCCGAAGAAGTATATGTATCAAGGAACTATTTTTTCATAATTGATATCGGATAATGAAAGCGTCATTATATATATATACTGCTTTTAAAGGAGATTTCAAAATTAGGGGTTAGCAATTATCCCCTTCCCGCTGCCTGTGATTAACTTGATTGAGTCATAGAAAAAGAGAAAAAAAATATATATCATGGATACTCATGTATAATAATTGCTCTCGAAAATTAATTAACAACACATATTTACGTTTTACTTTCAATTTCCTTTAATATGTAGTCAAATATTATGATCTAACTGTACAATGCTGTTGCAGTCATGAAATTTGTTTCATTTTTTTATAATTTCATCAATTATACTTCATTCTTTCCATTCTCTCACCGGCACTATTTATTTTTGTATCTCTTTTGATCGACATTAAAGTCATTTTGACTAATTATTTTTCTATCTTTTTACTTTTCAATCCTTCTTTCTTTAGCGAAAGAAACTTTAGATCCCAATGTGGCTAAGAATAGATTATTTGATATCCAAATGCCTTATAATCAAATGTCTGCAATGATTTGAATGTTTAGGACGATAAAAAAAGACGATGGAACAAATTGGATTACTAAATAATATCACCTGTTTAGCAGAAAAATCTCAATTACAAAATAACTCAGATTTTCCATCGCCCATTACAAAAGTTACTAGTTTGTGCTTAAAAGGGGTACCAACACTTTGGCTAAAAACTAAAAAAAGATTTGGTTCGTTTAATTTTCATAAAATTTTGAAAAAAATATGTACCTTTATAGCTTGTTGTTCAGTGTGAGCCAAGACTCCGTGTTGAAGGCCGCACTTTGACCTATAATTGTTTACTTTTTACACATTGTGACTTGGATGGAGTGTTGTCCCATTGGTACTCATAGCACATCTTCTTATTTCTATTTGACCTATTGACAAAGATATAAGAATTTCAAGACATTTGAACCACACAAGTTACAGGAATAATTTCATTGGATATATACAATGCAGCGGTTTGACAAACACTACTTTTGATCATTGAGAAGCTTGATTTCTCTTTACTAATAGTATGTGATTAAACCATTCAGCTGATTTTTAAAGAGTTAACTCCCTTAGGTGTTCTGTACCCCCTTAAACTATCCGATGCTTTGTTCTAGATTTCAGAATACTAATGGAAAGTACAAAATTTAATGCATTTCATAATTTCTTATTGAGACGATAGTTGGATCCAATTGTCTTTGTAAAGTGGTAGTCTCTGTTACTCGAAAAATATAGTGTCAAATATTTCTAAATGTCTGTTTTTGTAGTGTTCGATTACATAAATTGCTATCTGATTTATGATTATGTTATGTTTTTTTGGATAACTCGCGAATCCCGAGGAATGACTTTGAATAGAAATATGGTCACCTAAATTTCTTCAGTCCGGCATTAAAATAATAGTAAAGATTGATTGAGTGTTTATGAAATTCATTCATCATTACATGTTCAAATGACAAGAACAAATTAACAATTAATACAATAGGAAGGCTGTGCAAAATGGATAGACCGATATGAAGCGTGATAATTTTGGACTACTACTAAATAATAAGGGTAATTTGGATAGTGGCAGATTATTATATATAGACGAGGAATCAGGATTAACCTGCCCTTACTGGTCGGACGCGGTTGCGTATTTATAAAGCCAAAAAAAACGAGCACTTCTCGCAGGTGAGTTTTCCTCCTTAGACGAAGAAATTTGTGCCATATGTTTACCCCAGAGTTCCATCGTATGCTTGCTTGTGCGGGATGTATAATGTATAAATACACAGCCTCATTGCATCAGCTTTTGGATGTGGATGCCTTGTCTTTTCGACCTCAATATGCATAGAATATTTGCCATTGGACGATAATTACCCAATGATTACTTCTGAAACATGTGTTATGAGAGAATATCAGAACAGTGCTTGTATCCTTTTTTCCTGTTTTTTTTTATTTGTTATGAAAATAATGGAGTTATTGTCAATGAAACAACTATCCACCAGAGACAAAATGGCATTAGATGTGAACAAGTACAAAATGTATATGTCACCGTGCGACCTTCAATTTTGAGCAAAAACATACCGTATAGTAAGCTTTAAAAGCCTCCGACAGGAAAGACAAAGTATAAAACTATTGAAACAAGAAAACCAACGGTTTGATTTATGATATAAAAAAAAATTAAAACCAAAAACAAATACATGCAAAGACAACCACACAGACTCCTGGCGTAGGAAAGACACATACTTGACAGTGTTAGAATGTATTCGAGCTCTAAACTCTTCCTAGACAATGGTGTAATAGCACAACCTAAAACCACGACATGAGAACAATCTTTAAAAATCTGTTGGAAAAGGTTTGACTCATCAGATCTACATGTAGCACGAAACAAAAACTACTATCTAAATGACAAATGACACAAAGTACTGATCTAAGAGGATGCGTAGTTACTGAAAGCTAGTTCAGATCCAATTACAACTAATACATAAATCATGTATTCCAATGCAAACTAAAATATCAATCAGTACACATCCAACCGATTTGGGTAAAAGAGGTCATACCCAGTCTACAAAATACACGATCTTGTGCAAGCCAAAGATAATAAGGATCGACAAGATGTAGGACATGTCCTTATATCTCTGTAGCAATACATATTTAAATATGTTTCAAAAATATAAATATAAGGTTGTTTTTTGTTTTTTGTTTTTTGTTTATTTGTTGTTGGTTTTTTTTTGGGGGGGGGGGGGAGAGGGGAGGGTTTCTATTTGTTTTGTCCGTGTATATGTTTTCATTTACAAATATTGAATGCAGTGGGTACAAAGAATGGTGTAAATTTTAGAAATTTAGATGTAACTATACACAATGTCAAGGTTTGTAATATTTTAACATTTACGTTATGCATGATGATGAAGCAACTTATATGTAACAAATTGTGAAGGAAATTTTGTTTTAACAGATTTACTTACTAGATAATATAGATTTATATTTCGGCCATCCCTCCACAGATATTCTAACATCCTCGAACTCCTGATCGGCTGTAGACAATAATAAACGAGTTAATTCTCCTTTAGATTTTGCATTGAAATATTCTAATTTATAAACCGGCATCTTTGATCTAGATCATGAGGTGTGTCGGAATAATCTAGCGTCAACTGTGCAATTATCTATATTGTTGAGTACATTTAGTAAAGCGTAAAGTTCATAATAATTTGAAATATCACCAAAAATACATAAACTGCTGCGAAACAACATGTTAAAAACTTGCATTATTAGCAGCCATTCTAATCCCCTCTTTATAATGTGGAAAAAAACTCTATTCAGAATAAATAATAGTATTTGACACCAGAAAGCGTACGAAAAATGAAATTTTGAGATGTTTTTGATGTAATTTTGGGACTGACGAGGAAGGGGAAAGGAAATAGTGCACAGAAATCTGCCATATCTAGCTGTCTACCAGAAATTGCTTAATATCCGAAATGTCTACCAGTTTTTTTACTTTGTTTTTTTCTTCAAGATAGTACTTTATTTTAGTAATCGCACAGACTACTTGTGAGTATATACAGCTGAAGTGTTTCTATGAACGAATTGTTGGAATGTGCTGATGACATGTTATTTATTTATTAAAGTTCATTCAACACATGCACTTTTTATCTTTATAGTTTACATATTAGTTTTGTTCGAAAACAAAATTTGATAGCAAATATCTGATTGAGGGCAACGCAAGCACCGTCTGTTTGACTTTGTTGGATATAAAAATACCACGTCCGGTCAGAATAGGTGACATCCGATGCCTATTATAGGGAACGGACCAAACTTCTGTTCAGGTTTTTAAGAATCTTACAACAACCATTTTTTAGCGTCGAAGGTTGCCACTTACACGACAAAATTTCTGCTTTCCAAAATATCATAACTTTTCAGTGGCAATCAAAATTTCCTTCATCCCGGTCTTTCCACTTGTGAATTTTAATTGTCCCTTTGGTGTATTCCGCCTCTTGTTTTGGCAGAACCTATACTTAAAACAGGATTCTTCTTTATGTTTTGCTCGTCCTGAATATGCTTGAAATATCTGCTACAGGACGTTAATCAAAACAATCAACATTTAAATAACAGGTCGTGCGCATTGACATCGGTATAGAAATCAAACTATTACTCTTCTGATAACATGGGCTCGCAAATTTTGAAAAGAAAAATAAATATTTATAAAAACGTTTTCTACCGAAACAACAACTTTTACGGTCACATATTTAAATGGTCTATGTACAAATATGCGTAGGTGAAGAGTACTATTTTTTAAAGATTACGGATATAGGATTAAGTTCAAACACTTCCAAGCTCTTATTACATTAAAATTACTGGGGTCATTTTGAATAATTTTTCGCAAACAAACCTAGCAATTCGAATGTTTTGATAAAAGACAAAGGTTTTATTTGAGAAAATTTCAAACATCATCTTCATCAACAATATCAGATAAATTTAACTTTATCAAGTACTTTTGATGTATAAACTACCAATGTCATGTGTTGTTTGCATCCAGACCTGAAAGTATATCATGCACCCTTCTCAAAATACCAAATTCGTTCTGGCTTCTATTACTAACGGTCTCATTTAAAATTTTCCGTGTTTACAAAAAAACAAAATAAATCAAATAAATAGGATAAATACTTGATCGTCACATATATATCATAATCTCGATTTTCTTTTTAATGTTTGGAAAAATAAAGAAATATATCTGATACAAGTATTAAAAGTCATACAAATCATCCGGTTTTAAATGTTAGATAGAGAGGAACGGAAGGACGGTTTTTAATTTCACTTCCAGCTGTCATGACACTAATTACGGATGCGGTTTGGCAACATGATCATCTTTATTACACTGATCGTTTCACGAATTAATTAGACAACATTTAAATTGATCGTGTAGAATTTTGTTTGATAGTAAAAGTGCAAGTAAACAAAATAAAAAAATATCTTTTTTAGCCTTCACTGTCTATACCCAACAATTTTCATTTTGTATTTTCAAAATTTTAAATTGGATTTTAAAATAAATATCTGCCAGAATTTTACTTGTAATGAGCAAAACGACGGCGGCCACTAGTGGAGTAGAAACTGTGTTCTCTTCCTGAGCATCTGAGTAAATTTTCCATGGGATTCGAGTTAATCAATCTCTGAATTTTTTTTTTGACTTTTTTGCAAGCTACAAAATGTATGGTCAGTTATATTTGCTATAATGATAATGCCCTTCCGACGTATTAGTTTTTTTATTACTTTTTAAAGGGGCTAGGGATGAATGAGGCACTTCTCAGGTTTTTGTCCTAGTCTACATATCGACTGTTTATGTTTTCCCAACAGATCTAGCAATCTCATAAGGTTTGTTACTCCAAGGCTACTGCTTTAGCCACAATTAACGATCTCGATGAGGTGGTGTCATCTCACAACATACCCCGTAGGTTGTGATAGAGGATGAGGCAAGTTATGACATGCATGCGGAAATTTTAATTTCTGTTCACATTTTCAAATGTACATTTTTGCTTTCTGGATTTGTGTTTGTGTCATCGATCTTATATTTGAAAATAAACGGACTGTATAATAGCTAAGCAACACAAGATTCAAACCAATCGTTTGCAACCTATAGTGTATCCTAAAGCAGAAAAAAATTGCACTGCGCTAAAAAAAAACATTTTATCTGATAAATATCTGTATAATTTATTATGTTAATGATTTTTCAGTTCGAACTAATCTGGTTTAGTCATTCTGTTTGTTTATTGTGTGTAAGTACATTTCGACTTTGAAATTACTTCGTTTAAACTGTTATCTTGAAATTTTGTATTCCTATTTGCTGCATTGAATTAGGCTAAAGAAGTTTTTTGCTAAATCAGAAACAATCAAATGCAGTTACGGAAGACAAGCTGTTAAAGCTAAGGGTTTACGTTGTTTTCCAATCTTGTTTGTTTTTGCCCTTTACTGTGCATTTTATTTGGAATGTCCTTATATAGATTTAAGAAGATGTGCTATGAGTGCCAATGAGACAACTCTCCATCCAAGTCAAAATTTATAAAAGTAAACCATTATAGGTCAAAGTACGGTCTTATCCATTTTTTGTGTGTTTCTTACTTGCTCGCATGACAAATATTTGTTCTCGATTATTTTCTTTCTCCTTTAGAGTAATGCAGTGCATTTACTTTTTTTTACGTTGGTGAAGAATAAGAGGACAGTGTTATATTTCAATAAAAGTTTTATTACCCAACCCTTAAAGGATAAAAATTAACAGTAAAGGTTCAAAACAATATCGTCCCTCTAGTCTTCCTCGAAGTCAAAATTCTGACGAATTTAAAAAAAAGAAGATGTGGTTTGATTGCCAATGCCACAAGAGAACAAATGACACAGAAATTAACAATTATAGGTCACCGTACGGCCTTCAACAATGAGCAAAACCCATACCGCATAGTCAGCTATAAAAGACCCCGAAATAAGAAATGTAAAACAATTCAAACGAGAAAACTAATGGCCTAATTTATGTACAAAATAATGAACGCAAAACAAAAACAAAAATACACAGAAACAAACGACAGCCATTGAATTACAGGCTCCTGACGTGGGACAGGCATAAATAAACATTGTTTTCTCCTTTTGTGCATTCTTCGTGTGCCCATGTTTTGCAACTAGTGCACGTAATCCAAAATTCCCTTTGATCATTTTGAATATATTTTTATATATATTTTAAATATCATTCTAAGGAGATAAAGTAAGGACATTCATCTTTGTCGTCCGAAGGTTGTGATTTATTTTTCTGCTTCTATTTGTTTGTTTTTTGAAGTGGCAACTTTCGCTTAACAGTTTTATGCTGTAGCTGTTACTTCCTCTTTTCTTCTCCCTCGAGTGCGTTCTTTGATGTTTTATCTGTAAGGATACCCATAGGATAGAAGTATTCCTGAAGTAGAGGTGCTTTTTAGAAAGGGCATTCTTCGCTTAAGTCGAATCGTGTTGGTGTTTCATTTTGTGTACGAGAAGAACATGCTGCCTCTCGAACTGCATGGTGCTGCTGCGTCTACTCCTTCCAAAACGAAATAGAATTTTTTCCTTGTTTCGACTGTTAACGTTATGTGTAATTGCGCATGCTTTAGCTCAGATATGTTGTTTTCACTGATCACATTGGCGCAAACTTGCTTTAATTTGCACTTCAAAACGAAGACTACATACATGTATTAACCAGTCCCAGAAATATAGTTGTTTTTATTTATGTAACTGTTAATCTCTGTAATCCAATCCTTGTGACCAATAATGGAATCTTTGAAGAACTTTATATTTATATAGCTTCACATCTCACGTTTTTGAATACTTCTTCACTGCCGATTCATTACAACCCGCTTCCATGCATACCTGAAATACATACATAAATAAAGGCAACAGTAGTATACCGGTGTTCAAAAGTCATAAATCGATTTAGAGAAAACAAATTCGGGTTACATACCAAAATCGATGGAAACACATCAACTATAAGAGGAAGATAATTTAAAGGAACAACAAGAACACCGAAGTGCAACAAAAACAAACGCCAACACACATAGAAACGAACTATTTGATAACAACTGACTTGATACAAGACATTTTAAGAAAAAAATGGTGGGTTGAATAAGGCAGTGTTTAACACCCCTGAAAATTATCAGAACTCGTTGTTGTTTCTGTAGATACGTTTGTAAATTAGTTTTTCTGTTTTGGTCTTTCCTCTGTTCCTTATTCGTATCTTTTATCTTGTTCTTCTCTTGATTGATGATACTCTCCCTCGTGTTGCTCTGGTCTTTCCTCTGTTCCTAATTCGTATCTTTTATCTTGTTCTTCTCTTGATTGGTGATACTCTCCCTCGTGTTGCTCATCTGTTTCTTGTTGTTGATCATCATTCGATTCCTTTTAATTGGTACCATTGTTCGGTATAGTAGATGGTATTTCATCATTCCGTCTTTCTCTTTGTGTAAAGTCATCATAATTGTTTGCACTGACATATCGGTTATATATGAAGGAGCAAAGTCAGTATCTTCAAAAACATCCGGATTTATTGGGAATATTCCACTTACTTTGAAGCCATTTATTGTTTTTTTTTTTTTTTTTTGGGGGGGGGGGGGGGGGGTAGTAGCATTCGGCCAAGACTCTTTCACGATCCCAGGTTAGTCATATATTGTCATTGGCTTCCCGGGGTTATATCTCAACCAACAATCAAGTGCTGTTGTCACGTATTTTTTTCTCCAATATACCATACACCGTCCTGTCTAATGGTTGAAGCTTGTGGGAACAATTGTGAAGAAATGAAAGCAATATATAATCTCATTGAGTTTAACAAAGGCAAGTATCGTTACAGCAAAATGAGAATGGTGGTTATATAATAAAAGCAAGACTACTTGTTCAGTTTGGTGTGCTTCACAAATTGACAAATTGTTGTAGAGACATGAGAAAGTTATCAGCTTTTAGCCAACCTGATGGATGTGCTGCTACATAAAACAACTTGAGATCCATCTCTAATAAAGTGGTCTTCTTGGAAAATCATCATGTGTAGTACAATTTTCCCAATGATGTTTACGGTTGCACATACTGTAACAAGATACCTCTCTCTCCAGAAGTGATGACTCCTGATTGCTTTGGTGCAATGGTTATACCTGTTTCGTCTACATTCCATATATATGAAGTACTAAATTTGTAACGTTCAATAAATTCTCCTAGCTTTGAAAAATACAAGTTTACATACAGTTAAAATTTGCTGCCTTGACAGGGTCGTCAATTCTGGTGTTCTTATTGGCAGTTTAGGGTGTCCCAGAATAAACAGATCAAACAAAGCTATCACTTCGGCATTTGTTTCCCAATGTTTTTGCACATTCATATGCTAGTCTTTAAGGGTAAGTCGGATGTAAATGAATGAATCATTTATCAAATATCTTTAAGAAACCGTTCATGTAAGTCATTGAATACTTTCCTTTTGCTATAGTTGTCAATTTTAACTTTACAAGACCCAACCTCTAATGCTTTTTTAATAAATCTGGTCAGGGCCATTTGGTTTATTTTCCATTACAGACGCTGCCGATCTCACACTTCGGTGTTCATAATTTCATAACATCCGTTTTGCGTTCACTGTATGTCTAATTATATATCAAATGCGTTTTGTTAAAATATACTTTTTCACTCATTTGGTCTTTTGGAAAATGTTGTTTGTGCTGTATTTAGACCCCTCTACCAAGTAATTTGTTTTGCATGCACACGTATAAAAATTGCGGTTTTTAGCCAACGCAATCATAGGTTTGAACGTTGTTTTCAATTTAGACTTGTTTGTAATTATATATATAAATATATATCTGACTTAATGAAGTATTTTACAAGACAAAAGTGTTTAAAGTCGTTATTTAAAGTATCAGTGTATGTGTATTCCTTAATTAAATTGAAATAGACTCATATTGGAATCGATTGGGTCGGTCACATGACTCACGATAAAATGTAATAGGGCAGATTATGAAACTTCCGTATGCGTTGTATCTAGACGTTGGGCGAGTGGCAATCAAGCGTGAAGAAACTAATGGTAATGGGACTCAATATACGGCACACGTGATGCACCTTAATTGTGTATTCATTTGTACATTTTGATTGTTTCAAAGGAATTGGTAATATACACATATTAAGAACAATTATTATTTCTTCAAACATGGCAAGACATATACTTACTGCTGAGATATTCAGTTTTGTCTACTATGGCATCACCTTTTCTGTCATGACGCAATTTAAAAATGAAGCGTCCAAATATTTTGGAAGTATGACGTCAGTTCCTTTATTAAGTTGGATTTCCAGCTTCTGTCTCATTCAACACGTGTCACATACACATTATCGCTATTTGTCCGCCTTCATTGGAAATGATTTATAAATCTTTCTCATGCGCGCAAAGCCTTAATTCCTTGCCCGGCTTTGTCTTCACTTTTCTTTCCTTTTTGTTTTATCCACTCTTTGTCGATATGCGCATCTGGTGCATTAAAACTTTGCACATTAACTAAACTATATATTCTTGACTTAAGGCAGGCATGGAAGTAAAGTCACTATAATACTTCCATGGGGCAGGCAAATTAGGAATATTTCTATGCCCTCAACTCCCTCCCCCTGACCTGGGACACATTAGTGTAACAGAACATTACCGTAAACGATAAAAACAGTTGAATATGAATTAACTCTTCGTATTGGTAATAAACACACACAACTAATAAAATAAAAACCAAACAACTAGGAAAAAGAGAAATTACTGATCTAAAAAGATCCGTTTTAACAAATAAATACATAATTTTCATTTTTTTGTTTTTAATTCATTTTGTTAAAATAAAATTGAGCAAATAATAAAACTTTGTCAGAACACAATATTGTGAAGACAGTGGTCACTCAAAGACCAATCATCAATTTATTTACGAGTGCACTGAATACAGTGCATGCTAGTGCTTATAGTGCTTATGTTTCAAAGGGTGTTCCGAATTTTTACGGTAAATTTAATCTAAAAGTACATGTAGGTGTAAAGTGTAAAAGTTCATTTTCATTTGTATTATATATATATGTGTTACAGCTGCAATAAATACTTAATGTGGCGTACAAGATCCGATTATAGCGTGTCATAAAAATGATTCATTTATTAACAAGTGTTTATTTTGACAAACTATTCAGGGTATAGTGGTCACTCCGACTTATCTTGTTTGCACACAGTAAATTGCTCAATAAGTATTTCGTTGTTAAGCATTTAGGTGATGTAAATCCACCAACAAACATTTTAACAATCGCCACACTTTATAAATATTTAATAGACAAGTTGACAGTCTCGTAGTGGGAGTTATGTCGACGTACAAGATAACTTACTTTAACGGGAGGGGGAGAGGAGAATTAACTCGACTCCTTCTAGTGGCAGCTGGACAAAAATTTGAAGATGAACGAGTGACCAGAGAGGAATGGCAGAAATTGAAACCAAGTAAGTGGTCGAAATAAAATTTTACATAGTTTTTTTTACCTTTTATTATAAAAGCTTCATAGCTGGGAGATATACATCTAACTATATATTTAACCATCTTTGTATGATCGCATGAATATCAATTATCTATGAATAGAGTGACAGGCGTGAATTACTTATTTGCATTTTTTATATGAATATATAAGAAGAAAATTTTGTAAAATAATTTTAGTTTAAATTACATTTACATTTTATGCCCCGCTGAGGCAGACAACATTTAGAAGGAAGTTAAGTCAATCTGATATAATACCAATAATTGTACGTGTAATATTTGTTTTTAATATTTAAACAACAAAACTACATTCATAATTTTAAGTGTTAGATATTAGCTATGACAATGCAAGAAATGAACTATTTCATTTTAATGTTCAAATAAACAAACGTTCACAGTGACTTTAACATTTAATTTTGTAGTTGGACTTTTAGGTTTTCTTTCATTTAAAAAATGCAAAACTATGCATTCATTATATTATGTAATAAATTAATGTTTGTTATGATTATTCCTCATAATAACTTATGATCATGTTCCATATTCATTTAAATGTTTAAATTAACAAATGCCTACTATGTTTTAAATATTTCATTCTGAAGTTGATCCTTAGATTTACTTACATTAAATTACAAGTATCAAATGTTCGTTTAACACGCAACCAAACTAAAATAGAAATTGTAGATAAGAAATCAAGCAGTAAGATCATCTATGATATCAACGAATAATATATATATCTTTTCAATTTGTCAAAAAGATTAATTGATAGTTGGCTGCTTAACGTCCAGTAGCAAACATTTCATGCATGTTCAGAATGAAAAAAAAGTTGGAAGATAATAGGAGGTAATCAATTGCCACTAGGTCGAACAGGGACAAAACACAAAATGGCAAAGCGAAAAACTAAAAAACAACACAAAAATGTTAATATAGGCAGCATAAAGTGAACTCATGTGCTCCGAAAGGGTTAGCCATTCCTTCTATATCACTGGCACCCGTCGTGTTGCTTGTAATAAGTAAAAATATGACCAATCGATTCGTACAAACGAGGAAAGAAGATTTTACTTGATTTAACATAAATATAAGTTATAACATATTCGTTGTCATTTGTGTCTATAAATATGTTTCAATGTACAATTTGCCAGTAAAACAATATTGGAATAGACCATAAATTTTATTCAATGTAAAATGCATCAACATTATGCTTTGAATGGAACAATGGGTGGACGGATGGGTCGATGGATAGCCATCGTCTTACGGGCAATTTTTCGCCAACGTCCAGGACAAGATGGTTTTAATGTGCATGAAAGTGATCACACGAAGACGTGACGGTAACAGATCACAAGAGACATGTCTCCCAAACTTAACCAATATCACCAAGCCCAACAGCCTGTCTGTATTTCCGCAATGCTGCATGTTGAAGCAGCCATTCACCAGTTACCTGATTTCAAGTTTTGATCAATCCATTCATAGTAATTTGAAGTAAATAGTGCTAAATAAAACAAATACATAAACCAAATTTTGATTTTCAGATATGCCACAAGGAACGGTACCTGTGTTGACTGTGAATGGTAAAATGTTACCTCAGAGTGGAGCTATAAACCGGTACCTCGCTAGGAAATTAGGTATATAACTTTATAAAACTTTTCTTGAATATAAAACCGGTTCTGAACAGAGAGTTTCATTTTTGGTAAACCAGGATCCGGACTCATTGGCAATCATACCACACCTCCTTATTTTTTTATCGGGATCCTAGATATACTTGTAATATTACTAAATCATAGTTTTCTTCTAAGTCGTTAGAGAATATAACCTTCACTCTCAGTAGTCAAACTGAAATATTTAAACTTAAATTATACTGAATGGATCAAACGTCACAATCAATGGGGTATTGTGTTATACAGTCTATATACATATTTGAGTACTTTAAAAATATATTTTGTATCTAGCAACTGTATCATGTATCTTAAGATAATTAAAATTGCATGTCAATGAAATATTAGGGTGCAGAAAAACGATGAAAAGATATTTATCAAGGTTGTTTAGTAAATGTGTGAATTTAGTTTCGTGTATACAGAACAAAAAATAGACGCCTACGACATGAGCTATACAATGCAGTTGTATTTTTTTAATTTGAGAAACACCAACCAAATGAATTGACTTTTTGGGTTAAAAAGGAATAAAAGATAGAAAGCGATGCATAGGAAATAATACGAACGAGACAAACAAAAGTACATTGAGACTAGACATAATAATATGTACAAACAAAGAAGCAAGAATGATACGAGCAGAAAATGCTGGAAAACGTTGGCAACACGAACTTCCATTTAAACGAAATACGAAAGTTTTATTTTGATACGGTTCACATATAACATTACAAACATATGCTCTTAAGAGCTTTTTACCGAAGTGATATTACGGGATCCTGAAAGATTATGATATCTTGAAATAGATATGACATACTTTTGCCGGTTGGTAGTTAAATCTCGTAAGCAATCAACTTAGGTATCGGTTATAGTCTATAAAACAACAGTTTAAGCCCACTACACATTTTCATACGCCTTTCTCAAATCAGAAACCTCGTAAATATAAGTGGATGTCAGATGAATTATCTTACTGGGCTTTGTTTTGTTTGTTTTCACGTTGATAGTCGATGTTTGATAGTTTCTTTTAAATCTATATACATTGAGGCAACGTGTATTACCTGGACTGGACTGGACTGGACTTAACTAGACTGGACTCTCACATGTTTATTTTTAAATCTTTAAAAGTACCTTCCTAATTAACAAGAAGATAACTAATAAACCAATAAAAAATAAATGCATGTTATTAAATATAAACATGCAGGAGTCCGATCCAGTCTATAGTCCAGTCCAAAAGTTGAGTCCTGTCCAGTCCAGGTAATACACTTTGCCCATTTTTTTTTTATAGATTCTAGACGAAATAGACCTTAAAAAAGTATATAGATAACACCTGTTTATCGTTAAAAACTGTATGTATGTTGCCCTCTAAGTGTTTTATTTTTGTTTCTTCGTACCGTTTGGTTGCTTCGTCATTGACGTACACCCTTTATCTTCTGTAATAAATATCAATTTTGTTAAAAACTGGTACGTGTAGCTCAACCTTTAGTTTTCTGTGTGATTTTTTTTTTTTTTTTTTTTTGATATCCGTCTTTTTTTCCTTTGGCCATATCATCTTGTTTTTTTTTTTGTTTTTTTTTTTTTTATTAATTATGTTTTTTTTATTGTCTCCTTGGTATTTTCTCCCTATTTAACTGAAAAATTTGTCATATCAGTATATATATGTATTTGAAATGTCATATTTGTCGAGACACGGTTCTTATTTATCTTTAGACAAAACATTGAAAACCTAGTTAGAGACATTTTGATATTTTTTAGATTTTTATGGTAAAACAAATGAAGAAATGACGACGAATGATATTATCATGGAAACAGTAACTGATTTTAGATCTAAGTTAATCCAGGCCCATTTGGAACAGGACGACGCAAAAAAGGTAAAATCCTTTAACTACTTCAAAGCATCGAATTTGTTCTTTATCGAAAAAGCGTTACACATGTATGCCGGCATTATGGTTTACTATACTTTATGTACTTTCAACTACAACAATTTTTTTGTTGTTGTCTTTGTCAGATTTATTTGTTTGATTGTTTGGTTTTTTAAGTCAGTTGTATTGTATATCTGTGGTATAAGTTTACACAGTTTTGGCTGCTGGATTCTATTAATTGTCACGTTAACCAATTACTTCTGTTCAGGTTGCTCACCAATTTTGTCGATATATCTAACTGAACTATATACAACTGTCACATAAGTGGGAGGTATGATTAGCTAGCGTTAGAACCAGGTTTAACCCACCATTTTATTTTCGGAAAATGGCTGCCCAAAGTAAGGAATATGACAATTGTTTTTCATTCGTTCCGTTGGTTGATATGGTTGAGTGTTTAATTTTTTTCAGGTTTCATAGACTTTTTGGTCAATGGAGTTTGGCAATTTTGTTCATACTTTTTCGCATTAAAAACAGTTTTCCTAAAATTATTTTTCACAGATACTCGATAAAAAATAGGATACCAGGCTTATCATTTACTACACCCGACACGCGTTAGGTCTACATAATAGTTAAGACTTATCAGTAGCACTTTAATCATAACAGTTACAAGACTGAATTAGTTTAAGAGCATCCACAAACCCAAATTCCAAAATACTGTTGTGAATTTGACTTAAGTAATCTATGCCAGAATGGAGAAGGAAAATAAAATTGAGAATGGAAATGGGGAATATGTCAAAGAGACAACAACCCGACCAAAGAGCAGAAAACAGCCGAAGGCCACCAATGGGTCCTCAACACAGCGAAAAAATCCCGCACCCGGAGGTGGTCCTCAGCTGGCCCCTAAATAAAAACTTATATAATGTTTCAAATGAGGTTAAACATTTATTGTCGGTAAGTTTGCAGAAAATAACAGTATCAATGATGATATATGTTAGCAGTAGAGTATTGACTATTAAGACTGAGCATTACCTAGAGGACAAAATGGCGACCAACAATGATATCAACCTAGTGGTTGTAAAAAACATCACCAAAGATACAAGGATTATAATCTACATAAGACTAATTGGTGGTACTCAAATCTTTCATACTATCTAATGAAACTAGTTTTCTAAGAAGACCAATGCCATGTTAAATCATTGAAGGAACACCTGAAATATACCGTTTAAACCTGCTCAACTCTATGTAGCAAAACATATTCAACCTTATACCAATTGCAAACTGTGCAGAATATTGGACACTGATAGATAAAGAGTGTTGAATGTATAATTGAGAATGGAAATGGGGAATATGTCAAAGAGACAACAACCCGACCAAAGAGCAGAAAACAGCCGAAGGCCACCAATGGGTCCTCAACACAGCGAAAAAATCCCGCACCCGGAGGCGGGCTTCAGCTGGCCCCTAAACAAAAATGTGTACTAGTTGAAAAATGGACGTCACACTAAACTCCAAAACATATGGCTGCTTTAGGTCATTTAGCTTTCACGCGTTTATGTCTTACACATCTTTGGCTTTCAAAAATCTTGGTTTGAGCATTTCTGATGAAGGTTAATCCAGAAAAGCGCTTCGGACGCCCAAAATTAATAAGTGTTATTTTCATTAACAGAAGAAATTTAAATTGAAGGACATCAAGATTTTTTAAATGTTTTATTAAATTCATGTCAGTCTTTACTCAAAGTTATTATATTATTAAAAAGAACCAAGTGACATACATACCTGTACATTGTATGTATGGTGAGGTTTGAACGTTGTTTTCAATTTAGACTTGTTTGTGAGATTATTATAGATATACATAATATAAATATGATCCTATTGCCGATTTATTCTTGAAACCAAACACCCTCTTTTAATGGTGTATCCTTGTATTCGTATTCTAATCATTTGTCTGATTTTAATTTTATTTTTGATGAATATATAGATACTAAGTAACTCATTGTAATTTTGATGCCTACGCGTTAAATATAATGTCATTTATAAACATTTTGTTTTCTTGAATTGACGGGGGTTGACTCTTTATCTATAATCTTTTTATCAGATATTTATATGCTAATGGAAGACGAGACGTAATATGGTATACTATAGTCCGTTCGTCCGTCAACAGTTCGTACGATAGCTCAAATTTGCTGTAACCAATTCTTATGTAATTTTGACACGCACTTATGATTGACGAAAGAAAGCCCCCTTTCGATTTTGAAAAGTTTTTGCTGTATCATTCTGGTACTTTTAAGCTTTAGATTTAAGGCATTTTTCACATATTGCACATTAACTCCAGTATGCCTAGATTTATTTCCTCACAACTTTACATTATTGTTGGGATTGATATAAGGAAGCCTCGTTTCCATTGGTTTTTGTTTCTGATTTGTCGTTCCGGGACTTTAATCTGCAGATTCAAGTTAAATTTTCAAATGTTATGCAATAACTTGAGTAAGCGACAATTATTTACTTGAAGCCATACCTAATTGCTGGAATTCGTGAACATAACACACCGTTATATCCTTTTTTAAACCTGATGTGTCATCAAAGAGTTATGGGACCTTGATCGTCAGATAAAAAAGGGCATTTTCTAGCTCCAGTGTGCTTGGATCAAACAATAACAAACTTAAACACCGTTGTTGTGAATCAGGGTGAATTTAGCCTCGCTTTTGATTTTGAAAATTTTCTGGTTTGTTATTCTGGTCATGGGACTTTTAACAGTCATATGTGACGTAATATTTATACGCCTGAGGGTACATGTATGTTTTTCTGCGAAGACTTTTTATTTGCTTCTGATTAAATGCCTTCTAGATATCCAATTTTATTTCATAGTTCATGCGCTCTTGGTAAAACTCCTTATTGACAATGGATGGTAATTTTTTTATTCGTTAAGGGGATATTGATTCTTCTGATTTTTAGAGTATAAAATATATGGTATCAGGAATATATTATGCTCTCTATAGACCTTGGTGTTATACTCTGTACTGTATATGTCAATTTCCTTTCAGGCAGAACTTTTTAAAAATATCAAAGAACAGACAATTCCCAATTTCATTAAGCAGATGGAGAATCTTCTCTGTGAAAATAATGATGGCAGTGGATTTTTTGTTGGCTCTGCGGTATGTGAATATATAACAATAAGAATACATTGCTGTACTTCAGTTCAATTTTAAATACTTTTAGCAAATACTGCTTATCAGCACAATACCATATAAAATATATATGCAAATACAATAACTGACAAATGAATACACTAGAGAAGAATAATGATCTATATTAAGTATTGGATACTAACAAGTCTATTGTACGCTTTAATGCATGGAAATAAACTGTTCTTAGGTAACAGGACCAAAATTTTGTACGCCAGACGCAGAAAAAAAGAAATTTACAAACTTGAGGTTTCATTTATATTTTACATTTTATGAGATCAACAACTGTACAAGCTTAATGTCGATTGACGTCTATAATAATATTATAATAGCCAAATAAATAACACTGTAAAATGAAATGAAATTCGTCCTCTAATGGATGTTTAATACAGAGAGTGTATGCTGTAGAAAGACAATCTTCGCGTGTTCTGGTAACTGTCCCACTGACATACTTGCATTCGTTCAGCAACACAATCTACTAAATTTTAGGTAACTGTCCAATTGACAGACTTAATTTCCTTTAGGTAGTCTGAGCTTGTGTATGCCATTGCCCCATTGATAAGCTCTATAACACAATCGCTGCATTTATAGAATACTGTCTAATTGACTGGTACGAATACTTTCAGACAATATTATCTACACGATTGCCTCAGGTGGCTGATTTATTGACATATACTTCAAACACCTCTCGATTTATCAAATTGTTGCTAATGTTAAAGATCATTTTGTTATTTTGTAAAGTGAAATTAAATTGTATTTTATCTTTTCCCGGAGGAAGTTGGAACAATCATCATTTCTGAGTCACACGACAACGGTTTTTTTTTTATTGAACAACACGCTAATTGTTTTTCTTGCTTATAATATAGTTTTCATTATGTTCTTTCGTCCTGAACATGCTTGAAATATTTGTCACTGGACGTTAAGCAACCAACAATCAATCAATTAAACATTATGATCAAAGAATACCCCCTTGTGGTATTGAAACTTAAGGAATACATCGAAAATGTAGTTAGTATTCTCGATAATCGTTCAAGGTGTGTTACTCTTTGTTGTACATTGCAGGGTATAGAAGTTGGAGGGTTAGGACCTAACTACTCTCCCAAAGGGCGTAGATGATTATGTGTGATGTAAAATTGTATTTCAACACCGAGGCTAAAATTTCCTGTGACAGTCAAAATTCGTTCTCCTGTTGTGTCCTCTCACCCCCTTATTTATTGCATGTTTATCTTATATCACCAATCTCATTTTGAACGACACGATATATATTTTTATTTTAGCTGCTACGGAGTAAAATATCATTAATCAATCAACTAATTTTAGTTGAAATTATTAGGGTGCTTATTAATTTTTTCCTACTGATATAGGTTATCTGTACACATTTGCTAAATTGATTGTCTGAATAATTGAAGACTGCTTAACGTTCAGTGGAAAATAGTACATGCATATTCAAGACGATAGTATGTTAATGTGATATAAACTTTTTTTGTACACACAAAGTACTCTAAGTAAAATTTCGAACGGCTTTAATAGCAATCCGCTACCTGGACATTCTGACTCCTAGCTGACTACAAATGTATTTCATTTGTTAATGAGGCGTGTGTGGCGGATAAATAGCAAATTCTACTTAGGTTTTAATCCGGTCGACGACCTCCTGCTAATACGATTTGATCTGCACAATTAAAAAATCTAGTAACTATGTTTATGTAAATGGTTATTGCATTTGATATTAAAGTTTTAAAGGGTGTGATTTGTAATAATACATGTGTAGCATAGTATGTGTATTATAACTCCATGTGCGGTTGCAACAAAATAACATACAAAAATCGTTGATATACATTTTAACTTCATTTATTTTACTTGTTACTTTTTTCAGATAACCGTCGGAGATTTAGCCTTATTAGACGTGATGGAAGTTGTTATCGGACTAATATTACCAACGGCATTAGACCAATCAGAAAAGTTAAAAGCTCACCGTGAACGTGTGTCAAAATCTCCGAGAATAAAAGAATGGTTAGAAAAAAGACCAAAAACGGATATGTAATTTTCATAAATAAACAATTGAGAGGTTACTAAAAGAAGCCACTGACAGCTGGAGAAAAAGACTTAGTGATCCTTTATAAAAGCCCTTCCATTATTATGTGACTTAAGATTTTTAAATTTGCGACACTACTGAGTTATATAAGTTATAAAAGTGAGTGAAGTTCGAGGATTATATGATAAAAAAATCTAAAACCAAGATTTTTTGGCAAATTGTGTTGTTTCTTAGAGTAACCTCTTTCTGTTTACTGAATTTTTATAAACTAATCCTTGACAATCAATAGACTGAACTATTTCATGAATATGTGGTTTTGAAGTTAATTGTACATAACACAGACAATTCTTCGAAATAAATTACAGCTTATATTGATCAGTATATGTATGCGAGTGAGTTGAGTGTTGAAAGGGGTGAAACAATTGGTATTGAAAGTATATAAATTTTTAAAAATGTAACTGTAATGAATATTTTGTTTTGAATTACCTCCCTTTGTCTACAAAGGACGTCAACTGTTAATTTTAAGTATATAGGTAACGAAAATTTCCTTATATACTATATACAATAATGCTTTGGCAAACATTTTTAATTTAACATATTTCTCATGATACGCTTTTGCAAAAAGTATTTTGCCTGATATCGAAGAAAATGAAAATTGTATTGTTCGGACAAAAACATGAATCATTATTCTTATATTCTCCCATTTTCAAGATTTATCAGAATTTTGAGGTTTTACTTACAGAGAAAAATGAGGAGACGTAGTATGATTGCCATTGAAAAAACTATCATCCAAAAGACAAAAAGATAACTAAAGGATGAAAACAACTTCAGATAACCTAACGGCCTTAATTTGAACATAAAGCACAACCAATACCGTACACTGTACAATACACAAACCGTACACTGTACAATGTCTCAACCGTACAGCCTTTACATTATAGGCACAACCAATAGCGTATACTGTACAATACCCAATTTAATAAAATTTTGAAACAATGCAATAGGGATAACTAAAGGGCCGAATTATGCAAAATATAAAACGATAAAACATTAATGACAGACAGACAGCAACCAACGACAACAACTGAACTTAGGTATGTGAACGGTCAAACAAGTCTATGGTAGCCTAACTGTCCTCAAAGATTGGACAGCGGCGTATTAGCAAAAAATAAATTACACTGTTAAAATCTATTTGAAAGAGCCTTTACTCGTCAGATCAGCACTTCACACACACACACACACACATACACCCTCACACACACACACAAACTAACAAAATTACAAAATACACAATTACAAAAGTCAATGTTACAGAATCCCATCAGTGCAGGCCTCCATTTGGATTGACCAGCAAGGTGTTTTTTTTAAAGTTTTGCACAGAGCGACGATGTAGAGAAAGTCAGGTACATTGCAGGATTACAAATTGGTAATCAAAAGGAGGAAATCGATGACCAGATTCCTCGCTATGGATATAGAGTTCTACTGACAATAACATATTTGCTTAAGGACTAGCTATAAAAATAAGAAGATGTGGTATAATTGCCAATGAGAAAACTCTTCACCAGAGACCACATGACATAGAAGTTAACAACTATATGACACCGTACAGCCTTCAACAACGAGCAAAACCCAAACCGCAAAGTCAGCTATAAAAGGCCCCGAAATAACAAATGTAAATAAATTCAAACGAGAAAACTAACGGCCTGATTTATGTAAAAATAATGAACGAAATAACAAATTTGATATACAGCAACAAACGACAACCACAGGCTCCTGACTTTTGACAGGCACATACAGAATGTGGCGGGGTTAAACATGTTAGCGGGCGCCCAACCTTCCTCCTCACCTTATATAGTGGTGTAACAGTACAACATATGACAAACTATAGAGATCAATTAAAAAGGGCTTAACTCATCAGATCGATACAAAGCCGAAAAACAAGTAACAAAAACACAGACTGGACATGGCAGGGTAGACCATACATATACAAAATTTTTTTCAATCTTTTATCTACTAAAAATTAAAAATACTTGTCAACTATTTAACATGTAGATGTGAACTTTTCAATATACAAATGGTAGCATACGCTATAAATTTGTTACTTTGGGATACCATACGGCATATTTTGTTAATAGTGAACAAAAAGGTAAAACATGCTACACAGAGGAACAAATGATCAGTATGCTGTAGTTTCTTATTGAAAACATATTTTTTGAATTTTGAGGTAGACTTTTTTCAACAAATTGTTGTTATTCCTATGGGAACGAACTGTGCACCTCTTCTTGCTGACCTCTTCTTTTTTCTTATGAGTCGGAATTCCTTCAGACACTTGTCAAAACAAGAAGATCAAAGAAGCCAGATCATCTAATTTCACATTCAGATATATTGATGATGTTCTTTCCATTTACAATCCAAACTTTTCTGATTTGGTTCCATTAATATGTCCTCCAGAACTAGAAATTAAAGAAACAACAGACACGGCTTCCTCCGCCTCATTTTTAGACTTATACCTCGAATTTGACATAAGCGGTCATCTCAGTCCCAGAATTTATGACAAACGAGACGATTTTAATTTTGAAATTATCAATTCCCCCACCTTAGTAGCAATATACCAACTTCACCTGTATATGGGATATACATTTCCCAACTCATTCGGTATTCAAGAGCTTGAAGCTGCTACTCAGACTTTATAAAACGTCACCAGTGTCTGAGCAGAAAGTTGATGAACCAGGGTCATCAAAAGAACGTCTCGTCCTTTTTCTAAAAAAGTTCATCGGAAGATACCAAGACCTTGTTGATAAATATTCCGTATCAACTTCACAAATAATACACGATGGTCTTGAAATATAGATTCTAGGTACTGACGTTGTTTGTCATCTTAATTACGTGTTATAGTGTTCTTATATTTGACTTTGTAAATTATTTACTTTACTGTTTAGTCCATTTTTGGTAATTATCCTCTTGGCGTGGCTCTGTACTTATACATACCGCCGTTGTGTTATTGTGCTATCGTCATTTTTTGTATTCCTGTCTTTCATTTGTGCTTATGTGCTTTGTCTATACGGCATTTTGTTTTTCTTTGTTGACATATTTGTTTGTTTTTATAGTGATTAAGATTATAAAACAATGTTGACTCGGGCGCATTGCATTTGCGCCAGTGTTCACAAAATCCAATCTTTCATTTGCGCCACAAGGTTATATTTCAATTGCGCCAAAAAATAAAAACTACATTAGCGCCATTTTACAGGTAACACATAAAGGAACAGTTTGAAATATTTATTGCTACATCGTGAATAAGTTTACTGCTGTACCCCTATTATAAAATTGAGAATGGAAATGGGGAATATGTCAAAGAGACAACAACCCGACCAAAGAGCAGATAACAGCCGAAGGCCACCAATGGGTCTTCAACGCAGCGAGAAAATCCCGCACCCGGAGGTGGTCCTTAGCTGGCCCCGAAATAAAAACGTCTGTTTGTTTTGTTCACACATTGTTGTCAATATAATGGAATTTTATGCGACTGTCATACAAGTGAAAGGTTTAGCCATTTATATAACCAGGTTTAATCCACCATTTTCTACATAAGGAAATGCCTGTACCAAGTCAGGAATATGACAGTTGTTTTCCATTCGTTTGATGTGTTTGAGCTTTTAATTTTGCCATTTGATAAGGGATTTTCCGTTTTGAATTTTCCTTTCTTCCTTCCTCGGTATTTTTGTTATTTTACTTTTTTGTATATTATATAAAGCGACATATCGTACGTGTAGCATAAATGCTTTATGCTACTAAAACAGAAGAGAAATAATGTGAAAAAAAGACATCATTGACACCAACCAGTTTATTTGACAATTTATGTAGTATACTACGTGAAATATAAAAAAAAACTATCTCGTGTACGGTAAGTCTGCGCCTATATAGGCCGTGTTCACATTGAGATAAACTCGGTGTGGTGTAGGTGTACTCCACACTTAAACTAAACTCTATTACGTTCCCATTGATAAAAATCAATCTTTAAAACAGTGCAAATGTACCATGTAGTTTAAAACAGGTTTTTACTACATGCAGTCGATTTATATAATAAATAAGTTATTTACCTATTTATATGTTTATATGACAAAAACTAAAAAAAATCTCATTTAAAAACATGATTAAATTCAATAGCCTTAGTGGACCATTTAATTTTCAGTGGGAGAGGGTTTTGTTTGCTGATAGAATATTCATTTTACACCGGCTGATAGTACGGCTCATGTATATAGCGCGGAAATTATTTTCACTTTTTTGTACACATCTTGCAAAGTACTGCATTTTTTATGACAAATTATTCATTTTCATCATGTCTTGGACAAGATTATTTTTACAGTTTGTTCCAGTCAAGACTATTCATTTCCAAAATCACCCCGTGGGAGTCTGGGGAATAGAAATATGGTCACTTAGGTCTTCTTCCGATCGGTCGTAAAACCCTTGCCAAAGTGGGCCGTCCGTTTGGCTTTGCGGGATGTACAAGTACTCAGCCACGTCTGGTCAGAATGGGGACATTGAATCCAATGCCTCATGTAGAGTACCATGTTCTCTGCACGTTAAGAACACATTTGTAACAACTCTTTAAGGGGTCCGTAGGTGGCCTGTTGCAAGGCAAAATTTCTGTCCCTATCCAATATACTGTCATTTTCCAATGGCAGTCTAAATTGCCCCGATCTTCATCTCGTATCGACCTACCTTTTGTATTTATTATGAAATTGTTCCCATCCTGAACATCTATGAAATATTTGCACTGTACGTTAAACAACCGACAATCAATCATTTTCAAAATCCTTTGTGTTGCCTATTATTACGCTGTTTTAGCCTGTTTTATTCAATAGAACGATTTTCTTAAGGTATCGACCATTCATCTTCGCCATTTTTGTATTACATTACTAAAAAAAACAACCAAATATTCCAATAACATACAGAAACATTTTCTTAACTCCATGTTGAAACCCCCAGCCCCTCTTTTTCAATGGTATCAAACGATTTTTATCACTTCCCTCCTGAAAAATTTTTTTTTCTTAAAAAAAAATGAATTAAAACCATTTATCTCCCCCCCCCCCCCCCCCTCCTCCCCCTCCTAAAAATTACGTGTACATGTTGTTTACTGGTATGAACAATTTTCATGTACAGGTAATTACAACCGATGTACAGATGAGAACAAATTTAATATAAAACCAGTGTTCATTAAATGAAACTAATTGTAAACAGGTTTACAGTACGCGACGTTTGGTGTGAACACGGCCATGTCTAAAACACTAATTGCCATTTCCAAAATAAAATTTTTTAACGAATACTTTATATGTTAGTGTCTAGCTTTGTCTTACAGTACCTAATTACCATTTCAAATATAAATATTTTTTAAAGAATAACTGATGAAATGAAATGGCTCCCAGTTATTCAAATACTTAAAAATTTTGATAAGTATACATAA